AGGGTTTAGGGCTTAGGGTTTTTGGAATCAGAATAGGCTTCCAATTTTAAGGACTGAATATTGTTACTTAAAGGAAACGGGCGCCCAGAGAGCACCATTCCGCTTAGTTAAGGCTTTATGAGGCTGTTATAAAGTTGATGAGGGTTTGATAGGGTTTTGTAAGGGTGGATTCGGAATAGACCTGAACTTATAAGGGCTGAAAGTTGTGATTTTGGGGTTTCGGGTTCCTAGTATAGGATTTAGGGTTTCGGGCTAGCCCGCAACCCTCGTCCAAGCAGCACAATATGAGCATTCTCAAATTGATTTACGGGGGGTTTAGGGTTCAGGGTAACATAGTACGGAAAGCAGACTCTTGCCTGCTATCCCGTTTACACAAGATACAAACTGCAAAATTCCTCAAAGAATGTCATGGGCCAGATATCTCTGCCTGGGCCAGCTCAAAGCCGCAACCCCCGAAAACCTTAAACAACTCTGAAACCCTTACACAAGCCGTTCACACCCGTAGACAAATCCTGTAAATGCACGAACAAACCGCGTGTGAGCTGGCAAAGACCCCAAGACCCCCAGATCCAAAACCATAAACCAAACCCTCAACCCTAAACCCNNAAACTCTAAAACCCAAAACCCCTAAACCCTAAATCCTGAACCCTAAACCCCTAAACCCCCAAACCCTAAGCCCTAAACCCTAAACCCCTAAACCCTAAATCCCAAAGCCTTTCAGCCCCTAAGACCAAGGCACCGATGCTCAGGATCCCTTTTGCTTTCTCCGCCTGGTCCTGCTGATCGATGCATATCACCTTGCCAGTTTTGTGGTATTGGGTTCAGGGGCTTAGGGTTTTGGGTCTTGGGTTTAGGGTTTAGGGTGTCTAGGGTTTAGGGTTTAGGGTTTAGGGTTGAGGGCTTAGGGTCTAGGGTCAGGGCTTAGGGTTTTGGGTTTAGGGTTTACGGTCTAGGGTTTTGGGCTTAGGTTTGTGGGTTTAGCGTTTAGGGCTTTGGGTTTAGGGCTTTGGGTTTAGGGGTTTAGTGTCTAGGGTTTAGGGTTTGGGGCTTTTGGTTTGGGGTTGTGGTTAGGGCTTAGGGGCTTTAGGGCTTGGGGTTTAGGGTTTGGGGTCTGATCCAGGCATATCACACTGGCTGACTATTGGAGGCCGCCTACTGAAAGGATCACGGGACTTAGCATAGCAGGTGGATGTATCAGTTCTAAGTACCATCTACAGGCGTCAGCACTTATGATTCCAGGTAAGGTGCTGATGTCATTACTTACTAAGTCCCATGATCCTCTAAGCAACAGCTGACTCAAGGGTTAAGGGCTGTGGGGCTTGAGGGGCTTAGCCCTAAACCCTAAACCCTAAACCCTAAACCCTAAACCCTAAACCCTAAACCCTAAACCTTAGCCTTTGGGTTCTAAGGGGAACCTTTAAAGGAGCCCGTAAGGGCTCGTTTAAGGATTCCTTTCACAGTCCATTTACGGGCTCTTTTAAGGGGTTCCTTCCTTTCCTTCAAAGGTTCCTTCAAGGGGACCCCTAAAACAAACCTCAGGGAGCCCTAAACCCTAAACCACAAACCCCTAAACCCTAAGCCCCTAAACCCGAAACCCCTAAACCCCTAAATCCTAAACCCCTAGATCCTGAACCCCTAGATCCTAAACCCCGCCCCCCCTCAAACCTAAAATCCTAAACCCCAGACCCTAAACCCTAAACCCCTAAACCCTTAAACCCTAAACCCTAAACCCTAAAGGCCCTAAACCCCTCAAGGAGCCCCTTTAGAGGGCTGCTCTCCCAGTCCAAGACACGTCAAGGAAGACGGGGTCCGAGCAGCGCGAGAAGAAGAGCACCGCGCAGGACCTGTGTTCCCTGAGCCCTTCATCCCTTACCTAGGGTTTAGGGTTTAGGGTTTAGGATTTGTGGTTTAGGTTTCAGGGTTTAGGGTTTAGGGTTGAGGGTGTAGGGTGTAGTGTTTAGGGTTTAGGGTTTAGGGTTTAGGGTAAGTTTCCTAAGCGGATCCGGAACAGAAACTCCCCAACCGAAATCCTCAACGGAACTCTAAAGGGACTCGGACTGGTATTTTAGGGTTCGAATAGATTTCGGAGTATTATTTTAGGACTCGGACTACTACTTCAGGCTTCGGACTCTGATTGTAGGGTTCGGGCTTACCATTTTGGAGTCCGGACTACTATTTTAGGGTTCGGACTCCCACTTGCCCACGGACCTTGCCCACGAAAAAACCTACCCCTGCCCACGAACCTTGCCCACTTGCCCACGACTATCAATAGGGTTGAAATTACTGTTGGATAGATAGGGTTTAGGGTTTAGGGCTTCTAAACCCGAAAGACCGGACCTTTCTAAGGACTCATATGAGGAAGTCATAAGATGGAGCCCTAGAAAGGTAGGTTCTTTGGGGTCCAGGTGCTGTTTAGGGTGTAGCCTTTAGGGGTTAGGGGTTTAGGGTATTGGGGGTTTAGGGGTCTAGTGACTCCGACCCTTAACCCTAGACCCCAAAACCCTAAAACCCTAAACCCTAAACCCTAAAACCCAAAACCCTAAACCCTAAACCCCAAAACCCTAAACCCTTAACCCTTAACCCTAGACCCCAAAATCCTAAATCGGCCTTCACAGAGCCTGCAGAGTGTGCTTTTTATTTGGCTTCCTGAGGCTCCCAAAAGGGAGCTTCCGAAAACAAGGGGTACCGATTTGGGGTTTAGGCTTTAGGGTTTAGGGTCTCCGAAAATAAAGGGGTAATATAGGGGCCTTAATAATTAGAATAGGGCTTTGGGGCCGATGAAACTAGAATTATAATAAGGAGTTCCCAAAGTAGTATAGGTAATTGTTTCGGCCCCTATATTACCTTATTGTGGGGTCCTTATAATTATTAATCAGGATCCTACTAGTCAGGGTACTATGTTAGGGTCCCCTATTTTCGGAAACACCCGAATATCGCCTAAATAATAGTGCACCCTTTCTCCAATGTTCAGCCGCAACAGGGACCACCCCAAAGAAAACTGAAATCACCGCAACCCCTAAACCCCAAACCCCTAAAACCCCAAAACCCTAAAACCACCCAAAACCCCAAAACCCTTAAACCCTTAAACACCCCAAAACCCTAAAACCCCACAAAACCCTAAAACCCCACAAAACCCCAAAACCCCACAAAACCCCACAAAACCCTAGACCCACGCGGCCCAGGTACAGAACCAGCCCGACGGGTTTCGTCCAGATGCAATGAAAGTAGGTGTCGTCCTTACTTGGGGGTTTCTTTAAAGGCTTAGGGTTTAGGGTTTAGGGTTTAGGGTTTAGGGTTTAGGGTTTAGGGTTTAGGGTTTAGGGTTTAGTGTTTAGGGCTTAGGGTTATTCTACAAGGGATCTATAAGGGTCCCACAAGATCTATAAGGTTGAGGGTAGCTTTAGGGTTCAAGGGTTTAGGGTTTAGGGTCTAGGGGTTTTGGGTTTTGGGCCTTAGGGTTTAGGGTTTAGGGCTTAGGGCTTAGGGTTAGGATTGGGGGTTTCAGGCGTAGGGTGTGGGTTCCTGGCCCAAAATCATGAACAGTTTAGATATCATGATGCATGCCTGCTACCGTCCGCTTTTGGCTTGGCATGACTACTTAGCCTACCAGCCCAACCTACGATGTCGAAAGCATCCAGGTAGTTGATGAAATCGCTGGCCCACAAAACGCTCGATGCCCGCCGATGTTTTCGTGCTTTTAGGCTTCAGGAATTTGGGGGAAACTTGATCCCTGCTGATGCTCTCGCAAAACTGCACGTGCTCCCATGGCCATGATCCATTCCTCTCGGTCAAGAGCCGATATGGATCATGGGGGGTGGCTACGCTACACATGTACCCAAGCCCTAAACCCTAAAACGCTACATCAACCTACTGAGCCCCTTAACCCGACACCCTAAACCCTAAACCCCAAACCCCAAAACCCTAAACCCTAAACCCTAAACCCTAACACCCTAAAACCCTAAACCCTACACCCTAAACCCTAAACTGAGCGACCAAGCATCTTCAGTCGGCTGTAACAGAGGGGGGAGCATCTCGAAACTGAAGAGCCATGAAACCAAAGCCGCGCCGATACTCGCCACGATCTGCGCAGCGGCTCCTTCTTGCAGGGCCATGGCCCCAAAAACATCTTACCCTAAACCCTAGACCCTAAACCCTAAACCCTAAACCCTAAACCCTAAACCCTAAGCCCTAAAGTTATTAGGCACTCTTGCCTTTAAAGGACTCGCGAAAACTCCTAAAGGCCCCCAGGCCCTGGACCCCTAAACCCTAAATCCAACTTTTCAAAAGTCTACAGATCACCTAGAAAATGAAAAGGAACCATGGTGGTAGAAGCCCCAAAACTCTGAACCCCTAAACCCTGAACCCCGGAAAACCCTAATCCAACTTTTCAAAAATAACAGATCAACTTGAAACAACTTGAAAAAAACTAAACCCTAAACCCTAATTTTTTTTTGAAAAAACCCCAAACCCGAAACCCTAAATCCGACTGGTAATCAAGAGAAGGAGCCATGGTAGAAGAGAAGGAGGGTGGCAAAACTCTAAACCCTAAACCCTAAAACAGAAAAGGAACCATGGTAGAAACCCCTAAACTCTAAACCAAAACAGAACAGGAGCCATGGTAGAAGAGAAGGAGGGTGGCATACTTCTTCCAGGCGCGACCATGCCAGCTGTGGCTCCAAAAGGTGCGGATCTTCGTCGTGGGATAGCCTTTTGGTAGGTTGTTTGGGGTTTAGGGTTTAGGGTTTAGGGTTTAGGGTGTTTGGGGTTTAGGGCTCCTGACTCCTACTGTCTGGTGCTTAGTAGGGAATGGGGGAATGGGTTATAGGGGCTACTATAAGGGACCTTGAGGGACTATCATAGGGATCCTACTAAGCACCAGACAGTTTTGGTAGGGTGTTTGGGGTTTAGGGTTTAGGGATTTAGGGTTTGGGGTTTAGGGTTTAAGGATTTGGGGTTTGGGGTTTAGGGTTTTGGGATTTGGGGGTTTAGGGTTTGGGGTTTAGGGTTTAGGGATTTAGGGTTTGGGGTCCAAGGATTTGGGGTTTGGGGTTTAGGGATTTAGGGTTTTAGGGTTTGGGGTTTAGGGTTTAGGGTTTGGGGTTTAGGGTTTAGGGTTTAGGGATTTGGGGTTTGGGGTTTAGGGATTTGGGGATTT